GGAAATGCCACCTAGTATTAAACCCACCATCTGCAATCAAAATAGGGAGATTCATGCTTTGCTTCAACCCACTCTATCCTTTTGCACATCCTGTTGATAAATATTTTATTCTGTTTGGTCTTTGGAGCATTGGTACCAGGCCTTTTAAACATTCCAGGGATTACAAGGTCTGCTTGTGTTAGGGTTGTCCTTATTTTCTACCCCCACCCTGCCCCCACCCCTAGATGGGATATGGAAGAATTTAAACCTGGTTTTAAAAGAAGAATTATTCCTAACTAAGGAAGACTTTTAGCACAAATCAATCAGGGTTAAGGTAATTTTTTAAAAGTTGACTTAGAAGAGTAGATTAGACAAAGGGGAATGAAGGGAATGGGAATCGAAAAGACAGTGGAATGAATCTGACATAACTTTCCTATGTTCATATGTGAATACATGACCAGTGAAACACATCATGTACAACCACGATAATAGGATCCTAATTAGAATAGGTCATACTCCGTGTGTATATAATATGTCAAAATACACTCTACTGTCATGCATATCTAAAAAGAACAAATAAAACAATAAGAGTCCTATAAGCACAGTTGTGGAACCATGGTCCATGGTGATGTATTTTTGTAGAAGGGCCATCCTCACTCTGGCATCCCACAGTTTTTGTACTTGGGACCATGCATTTTGGGTGGAGGACAAGAAACTAGGGATATCCAGGAAGGTCAAGAAAACCAAAGGACAAGGAGGTGGGCACAGACCACATAGACCATCTTGGGTATAAAAAGCAGGTAGATGGACTGAGGTTGAAGTTCAGTGGTAAAATGTTTGTTTAGCAAGCACAAGGCCCTGGGTTCCATCCCCAGCACTGGGAAAACAAACAAACAAACAAAAACAAAAGAAAGCAGGATGCATGTAGTATACCTGGGAAGGTAGTGAAAAGTAGGCAGAGCTGAATGATTGTCTAAGAACATTATTTGACACTTTTGTTTTTTAGTGAGCAAGTAGGGATGCCAATAGGGATGTGTGTGTGCTGTGTGTGTGTGTGAGGAGGGAGCGATATTACATTAAATCTGAGAGCTATTTATATAGGCACTAGAGAACTGACAAAATTAAATCTTGGGGATAGGGTATAGCTCAGTGGTACTTAGCATGCTTAAAGTGTATACTTAGCATGCTTAAAGCCCTGAGTTCAATGCCCAGCACAAAAGTAAATAAGTGAATAATTTTTTTAAAATCCCTGGATCTGATTGAATAAAAGCAATACTAATTATAGTTATTAGAACCATATATCATTTTTAAGGTAACGGTATATACACAGTGGCTGTCCTCATCTTTCACATATGTCAGTATATTGCTTTTTTAGTTTTACTTGATTTTTTTACTTGTATGTTGACATACACAATGAATGCTTCAATCTGGTTTATTATTAGTGCTAAAAGTCTTCCTTAGTTAGGAGTTGATTTGTGCTAAAAGTCTTCGTTAGTTAGGCTGAAAATTTTTTGAAAAATCCAGCCACTTATTCAACTTCCTCACGTGCAAGACCTTCTTTTGAAGGAGAATTGTGGAGGCCCTCCAAGGAGGGAAGGCAGGACTACGAGTCAGCCTGGAGGTGATACAGTAGTGATGACTGTGGGTGCTGGTGGTGATACTTAATGTTGAGTGCACGTAGGTTTGGAGGACGGCAGAGCTCATGCCGTGGGGTGGAGGGAGAGGGGGAAATCACCAGTATGTGAGGGAGGGAAGCTCTGCTGTGGCTTCATTCTTGGGGCAGGTGATCCAGGAGGATGACCATCACTCTCTATCTATCCCTGCATCCTCTCTTGGGGAGGGGCCTTTACCATCCTCCAAAGTTTTTAATTTTGAGTCATCATGGAAGTCAGAAAGGAAGGAGAAAAACAGAAACAAAGTCTTTAGGGCAGAGAGCTAGATGCCCCTCTCTGAGTAGTAAATGCTTTTAAAATTCTACACCAGATGTATAAATTAGGTGACTTTGAACATCCTTTGAAAAGTAACAGAATAAGAACAGTCATTAGAAAACAGAATGAAAAGAAAGCAGAAAAATTAAAAGAACAAAATTAAAATTGCAAAAAGAATTTTTTAAGTAGAAAGAAGTATAATATATTAGTATTTAATAAATTCAACCAAAAAAGTAGAAGAAGAGAAAGAAGAGAGTTAAAAATAAAGTCAGTGGAGGAAAAATAAATGAAATAGAAAAATCTGGTTAAGAGCAGAAAAAGAAATGAATCCAAGTTTTATCCAACTATTTTAACATAGGTTGCTAAATTTATACATAATTTTTCCACTGTTGGTTCTGCAGATAAAGTCTATTCTAGAAAGTAAATGTACTCTAAGCTTCCAGAACAAAAGCTTTCATGTCACCAGAGTGTCTGAAATTCAGAGCAAATTCTTTTCAGCAAAACCACTGAATGTTTCTACTATGATTAGTAGTGTTAATCCTTTCAGAGAAAGAAGGGATAAGAGAGAAAGAGGAAGAAAGTTGACAAGCATTTTCTTTTTTTAAATAGTCCCTGGAGAGAAAAGAGTGGTATGGTAAAGATTTACTGCAGCCGGAGAGAAAAGAGTGGTATGGTAAAGATTTACTGCAGTCTAGCAGAAGATGGAGACGTGTTAATCCAGCTCTGTCTACATACCTGAAGACATCTGAGATGCTGGAATGGCCTTCTCCTCCCACCCACTGCCAGGCCTGCCACCCTGCACCACCCGGATAGGGCCTTGGCTACCGCAGGAAGGAGAAGAGCTCTGAGCCTCCGACACATGTACCCATCCATTTTCCACATGGCAAGAGAGAGAGACTGGGAAATTTACTGCTGACATCTCTGGGCTTGTCTCCATTTACAAATAAGAAACTGAATGGGACATAGAGAATTCCTTGTCACTTCTTCCCACCTTTCACACAGTATCAACTGCAGGACAGAAGCCAACAGGCCTGAGCCACAAAAGGGAGAGAGGACTTCTTTTAGGGTTTCTGCAGATTCATCGTTTTCAATCTTTCTCTCAAAAATATCTCTCAAAAAATATACAACTGCCCCATCATTGATTTCTAACATTCTAGAACCATTGTTAATCATAAAAGTAAATCTTCCTAAAAATGTTTATGATCCAACTTACCAGTATCTCTTACTTTTTAAAGACAGTTACTTATTTGTAAAATTTAGATAACAGAACTTGGAGAAAAGCTGAACTTGAAAAATAATCAGACTCATATAAACTATTGCATCTACTTGATGGTTTCAGAGTTATGCAAAGTTATACGAATACACTTTATCTTTCATGTCTTGTAGAAATTAATGAACAGAAAAAAAATTCATGCTTATTTATTTGTACAATTAACAGCCCTGATCAGAAAGACTTTCATTTATCACTTAAATTTTGCTTGTGGAAATTTCTTCTTGCTCTATTTTGAGCAAGATATTAACTAGCCTGGCACAGTGACACACACCTGAAGTCCCAGACACTCGGAGGCTAAGGTAGGAGGATCATTTGAACCCTAGAGATTGGGGCCAGCCTGTGTAACATAGTGAGATCCCATTTCAAAATTAAAAAAAAAAAAAAAAGATATTATCTCACGGGGAAAATAGAGTTCTCAAAGAAATCTGCTTTACTATAACTCATTTCTTCCTTCCTGCACATTTTACTGTTCTTAACTCACAGTAAAATAACTCCTAGGGCTGTTATATACAATATCTCTATTTCATCCACTGTTTTGTTGTTCAAAATGCCCTTCCCACCTGAATAGTGTTTTTTGGAATAATAGCTGAGCAAAGAAGGATGTTTTCCAAACCTGTCTAACAAGAATCACTTGCTCTGATTATTAGCAACAATGATTCCAGGCCCTCATCCAGAATGCAGAATTCACTTGAATAGACCTGTTTGTTCCTCTAACATTTTTGGTGCTTATTATGTCTCCACAACTGGGTAAATAAGTGGCTGGGATGCAAAATGTGGTCCCAACCTTCAGGATCCCTGTCTGGGAAAGATGATAAATACATTCAAAAGCCTTGCAGGTGCTAAGAGAAGCACAGGCAAAATGCAATGAAGCCCACGCTGGACCAGAGCTGCACTTCAAGGGATGATGAATGGAAGTGACTAAGATAAGGGAAGGGAGGAAATTGCTTCTGCTGCTGCTGCTGCTGTTGCTGGCTAACATTTATTAAATGTTTACCGTGTAGCTCAGGGGTAGAGTGTGTGATTAGAATGCTCAAGGCCCTGGGTTTGCTTCCCAGCACCACCAAAACAAAACAAAACAAAAAGGAAAACAAAGAAGTGCTTGTGATAGTGTCAGGTATTTTGCTGAGGAGTTATTCCACTTAATTTTCACAAAAGCTATCATCTCATTTTTCAGATGGGGCAGCTCCTTGTTTGAATTTAGTAACTAACCAAAGAACACTCTGCACCCTTGTTCTGCACAGCAGAGGACACAGGGTTCCACAATCATGCCATCAGCAAGTCCTGCTTGTCCCTTCTCTGGTCTTCACTATCAATAGCTCTACCCCTTGGGGAACTCAAGGTCTTCAGGAAATTAGAACCTTCATCTGTAGAACAATTGTGGTCCTCACAGCACTTCCCTGAATCTCAAGCCCAAATCCATCATTTTAAAGGATTCTTCCTCAAAGTGTGTTTCCACAGGCTCCATTAATGTATATACTTGGCAGGGGGTTGCTGGGGATGGAACCCAGGCACCTGGGCATGCTAAGTGCTCTCTCTACCACCAAGTTATGGTCCAGCCCCCAAAGCTGCTAAGCCGCTTACCACAAGGTAAAAATGTATCTTCAAAGACTTCCTGATTGTTAACCAAACTCAACTTCATTGTTTAACAGTATTCTCAATGAAACAAAACAGGAAATTGCCTATCGAAACCTTTCCTTAATTCTCTATATAAGTGACAAAATAGAATTTGAAAAGGGTCAAATAAATGGCTCCACCTGATATATTAAAAGAAAAAAGATAAAACTGGTAATATTTAGAAGACTACATCAGCACATAATTACCTCATTCTTCCCAGATCTTGGATGCTCTTCACTGGCTTTTTCTTCCAGAAAGCATTTCACTTTCTCAACCTCTTCCATGCACTTTAAAAAGGCCATTTTCTCCAGCCCGTTGCTGCTGTAACATGTGTTGATTTCTTCCAGTCTCTTCACTTTTAGCATCTTGGTGGTGAGTCCAATTAAGCTACTGCCTGGCATGTGGCTCTCGCCTCCCTCTGTCTCCGATTTGTAAATCAAGACACAGTCATGACTTTTTAGTGTTCCCTTCTCTTGACTGTTAAAAAAAAAAAAAAAAAAAAAGGAAACCAAGAAAATTCTCATCACTTAATCACATATTGACTTTCTCAACAACTAATCAATGAGAATTTGGAAGTCTCTTCTATTTAAAGAGAGAAGATCCAAAATTGGGAAGAAGAATGTTAATATTCATATTGAACTTCCACCACTGGAACTTTTAAAGGAAAATATTTTTTGTTTTGTTTTGTTTTTACTTTTCCTACAAAGAGTAAGAAGCCATCTCAAGTTCAATTGGATGTTTATGTTACCGCTCTCACTGTGTGAAATAAGGTGCATATTAAGGACAGTAAAATACCTCACCCAGATGTTTCCTTGGCATATTTTGAGTTGGTTATTCAGGAAAAAGTGCACATGTCTGTAAACATGGAAAAATGCTGTGAAAAGCTCTCCTTTTATAAAAAGGAATGTGCTGCTATCTGTATCAGTAAAGAGCAAATCCAGACAATAAATTCTGATACCTTCCCCTTTCTGCCCAGCAAAGATCTATCCACAGGAATTAGAGATGGAGACTCTGACACCTGGCGCATGTGGAGATGACCACAGGTGAATGTTACCTGAGAGACTCCACCTGCATCACAAGACAACCCTGGCTTGCTGTGCAGGTCTCCCTCCAGTCTTCAGCAGACTGACCCACTTCCCTTCACCCCAGAAGCCCAAGTCCCTATCCCTTTAAACTCCAAGTATTGAGTCACACCCTTTGAGTCCCAATTTTGCATGCTCTAGGCATGTAATAAATTTTGTATGTTCTTTTTTTCTGCTCTTATCAGTTTATTTCATAAACTAAAATTATCAAATTTATGTTATCAAAAGTATTCTTTTCAGAGGAAACAGAGTAAATGTATAACTTCCCTATAATATTGAATGGCCAGTTTAAATATAGAATATAAAGGATCTTGGACTTAATTGGGAGAGAGGTTTTGCTCCTCATGTTCCTGAAGAAGGACTTACTAAATAAGGGGTTTCTCCTGCTTCCTCTGGAATTTTTTTTCTCCTTCTCAGGAGAGATTTCCACCAAATAAATCCCTTTTCAGAGCTCTTCTCTGCCTGTGTCTTTTTTTTTTTTTTAATAATGCCGGGGATCCAACCCAGGGCCCCACACATGCTAAACAAAAGCTCTACCTCTGAGTTACACTGGTTACACCCCTTTTTCCTCTGTCTGCACCTTTAAATGTTTGGTGTTTATTTTTAAAAAGAAGTTAATTTCCATACAGCACTCCAGTAGAGAAGGTACTCAGAAACCTTTCTTTGCATCTTCATTAATAGTTATTCTCTGAGTAGTTCAGAGTTCTTGTGATTTTTTAAAAAAATACTTTCCATACAAATTAAGTAATGTACACATTACAATATTGCTGTCACTCTAGACACATAATTGTATGTATATATCTACATACCCCCTGATTATATATAGAGAGAGAAATAAAGAGATTTGAATTTGTAGTGGTTTCCCATGGCTAACTCCGGAGGCCCCCTACTGGAAATTTGAAAATTGCTTCTTCCAGCTTTTTGGTCAACCTAAAAAGCATCTGTAATTTCCCCCGTGAAACTTTGTCTTTCATTTTTGCAACTCATACAGTAAAATAATAAACTGGAGTTCCAAAGTATTTTCAATTCAGTACTCTACAAAACTTGATGCATGACTGTTCTAAGACAAAACTATAACTAAAAGATAATTTTAATTGCAGAAGATACTAAAGCTGGAGTAGAAAGCCATATAAAAATTAACACATTAAAGGAAAAGCTTAGGTTCCAGATATTGTCATTTTGCAAAGAAATATTACACATTTAGCTTTATATGCAGTTTAGTACCTCTTGTTATTTAAAGCAACATAGAAGAGATTCAAGAGATAACAATAAACAAAAACAATTACCATTTATAGGAAGACATCATAGAGTTTGAACCACTCCAAGCCCAGAATGCAAGTTCCACCAGATAAAGGGAAGCTTTTTAGACTTCAGATTGACCACAGAAGCCTCTGGTAAAAGCCTTTCCTCTCAGTCAGTGGAAGTCTTCTGAAAAGACAAGTGTCCACTACGAGAGGAAGTATCCTCTCTCTCAAATGCCACTTTGAGCCCCTGTTTAAACTAATATGGTCCTTGATCTCATGTTGCTCAGCTGTTGGCTTCTTAGTCAGATGGGGAAGAATATTAATTTTAGACACCAGGCTTTTCAAAGCCAATGGCTCCATTTCAGAGGTCAGGTAAGGAGAGGATGGAACTGGGAACACTGGATGAAATAACACCTTCACCTTTCCCTCTCCCCGGTGTGGCAATACTCTCAGAATTACAAAGCTGGATTTGTCCTTGGCGATCATATGCCCCTTTCAGACTCATGATTAAGTGCTTGTTCCCAGCTGGCAGGACTCTAGGTGTGGGAACACGCAGCCACATGCATATTCATTATGGTAACTGTGAACATGCCCGACTTCAACATAGGCTCTTCTAAAAACATATGGCAAGTTTCATTTAATGTTCTCAGTCCTTAAAGGTGTTTGTGATATCCATAACTGTTCATGCTCTAGGGCAAGGCCAAAGACACAGGCATCTAGGTATGAAGAACAGGGATAAGCTTTTTCATAAACTCTCCTGACAAGTGACACTATAACTCTCTCATTTTCTGCTGCCCACTAAGAAGAGGGAGTTAGTGTGAGAACTACCTGCCAGGATGTAATGTACTTCTAGATTTATTTAAGTGGCATAAAACTTTGATTCCCTAGTAACTGGAATTAGTGTTACAGATAATCATCCAGTTCTTTGGGGCACAAGGCAATTGTCACCTTTTATTTGTAGCCTTTGCTGACCACCAGCCTCTGGCACTCTTCCTTTTTTTTTTAAAAAAAGTTTTCCTTTCTAATTCAGATCAACTGTAAAATAAAATAAATCAACGTAAAATAAAATAAATCAATGTAAAATAAAAATAGATGTTTTTTTCATTTTAAGAAATTTTAAAGAATTATAGCAGAATCATTTTTTTAAAAAAATTGTTAATATTTTCTAGGAATTAAAAAAAAAAAAACAAAAAAACATGTTCCCATCTACTGCTTGGCATTCAAACCAGCTGGATAATGCTAGTAGCTTCTGTTACTAAGTTAGAAGCATATATTTATAAATAATGTTATTTCCACAAAATTATTGTGAAAAGATGAAACAGATTTGAGGTTACCAATGTTTATATGTGTTATTAAATTATGTAATGTGACAAATTTCCCTACCAGAAGAAAGATATATGTGGCCACAGCCTCTGCCCAGACCATCAAAACAACAAAAATCAGACTTCCCATCTTCTTTGGCTCTAGCAAACTAGCCACAGGCTCCTATTAGCCAGAGCACAGTAGAATCTGTTCCTTTGCTTGCTTTTAAAAACAAACTTTTTATTTTAAAGTAGTTATAGAGCTACAGAAAAGGTAATTCAGAGAGTTCAGAGTGGCCCAGAGAGTTTCCCTATGACTTGTGTGTGTTTTCCGTATTTTCAGCATCTTATATTGGCCTAGTATAATTGTCCCCTTAATGAACCAATGTTGATACATTACTATTAAGTAAACTCAATACTTCATTTTCTTTTTCTTTTTTTCCTCCTACTGTCTCTTTTCTGTTTCAGAATCCCACGCAGTCCTCCACATCACATTTAGAATCACTAGGATTTGTGATGGATTGGATGTGGGGTGTGAAAGGAGGACAGTGGAAAAGGATGTTTATGAATTTCTCCTGGAGCACTTGAAGGATAAAGTTGACATTAACTGAGATGGAGAAGGCCATGGGAAGAACAAATTTTGGAGGAAGGTCAGAAACTCAGTTTTGACAAGCCCACTAAAACTTCAAGATGAATAGGTGTGGAAATAGAAATCTGGAGCTCAGGGAGATAAATTTGGAATGTCATCCATATATTGATATTTCCACACACAATATGTACTCAATAAACATTTGTTGATTAATTGCTAGAAAGGATGATCTTTGAATATGTATATTTGTCCTAACAAAAAAAGCCACAATTGAAAAAAATCATGTTACTTGAATTCAGTGGCAATAGTCTGGTACTGCTATATCACACTATTCCCAGATTCTGATGGCCTGGAGGATAAGCTGCCTGATACAATATTTTACCATGAAACCACCCAGGCATTGCATGCATGCTTATCTCAGGACTATCTGCCTAATCTCAGGACTCCAAACACCTATCCATAAAAGACTCTGAACGCATCAAAAAGTTCTTATGCCTAGAAAAAAAATTATAGTAAGGCTATAAGTGGGCCCAGTGAGACTTTTCCACTATTTACATGATATTTTGAAGTTATACATGTTTTGTAAATACTAACAAATAGCATTTAGAGAGCCATGGAAAGAATCCCTTGATTCTTTTCAAAGGACATTTCCATTAGCTGATTAAGACACCACACTGTCAAAGGAGCCACACAAATAGGAGTGGCTGACAGCTCATCTACTGCTTGGCATTCAAACCAGCTGGATAATGCTAATAGTTTCTGTTTATGCACTGCTTGCTGAAAGTTTCCAGAACAACAAAGACCTCTGAGCATTTACTCATAAAAGTAGAGCAATTGTCACAAATACCCAAATGCAAACGAAAGGCTAATGCATCCCAGTCATCCACATTCCAATTGACTTTTCTTCTTTCCATAAAGTACAACTGAGTATGACCCAGAAAAACAAAAATTAATAAACAGCACTTTAGCATTATTCAAAATGTTTGCTCTTCTAAGGACATTATTGGGAAAATGTAAAGACCAGCTACAGATTTGGAGAAAATACTTGGAAACTGCATATTTGGTGAAGAACCTGTATCCAGAATATACCATGAATTCTTCCAACTCAGTAACAGGATGACGAACATCCCAATTTTAAAAGTAGACAAAAGATTTGAACAGACA